CTGCTGCTGCTGCTGCTGCTGCTGCTGCGCGCGCAACCGTCTCGTTGCCCCTTTTGGCGCTGCTGATCGCCTCTGACCGCTGGCTGCTCCACAACTCTTCCAGCATCAAGGCTACACCGCGCTGCATTTCGCAAAAGTTGTCGTCTTGCGTGCGGCTCGATTCGGGAGCGACCTGGTTCGTTTGCGTTGATGTCGCGCTCGCGCTCGCGCTCGCCATCGCCGTCGCCGTCGCCGCTGCAGCCGCAAATGCCCTGCCCGCAGCGGATGCTCTCGCGTGCGTGGCCAAGTGCCATGTGCGCATCCACGTCGACAAGGCGGCCCACACGATCGAGTCGTGCGCGACGGCAGAAAGGCCTTGCAAAGGCGGCAGCATCGCTTTGAGCTTCTCGCTGGCCGTCGCGAAGAAGGAGATGGTGATGAGTCTGAGATCCAAAGCGTGCGCGGCCGTAAAGAGTGCCGATGCCACCAGCGACGTCAACACCTCGGCGCTGTCCAGCGCGAGTCTGGCGCCGAGCAGGGCCATAGAGTTGATGCTCTGATTGCCGCTCTCGGCATTTCTGCTAAAGTGATTGGCGCGCTGCGCCAAAAAGGAGAGTTCAGAGACGTAGGATGCGCAGGCAATGTCCATGCCCCTTAGACCGCCATCCGTCTCCGAATCGCTGAGCGCCAGACAAGCCGGCAGAGCATTGTTGGTGGTGGAGTTGATGATTTCGAACAATTGCTCGTGCAGCAAGCGACCCGTCATCGCTGCCACATCCCTCATCTTTTCGCACGCAAACGTCACGGCAAAGCCCTGAAAATTGCCTCCGTGCAGCACTGCGCCGTCGCTCGATCGCACCAACGGATTGTCCGTCGTGCTGTTGAGTTCAATGACCAGCGATCGATGCGCAGCTTCCAAATCCTCCCACGCTGGACCGAGCACTTGGGGAGAGGTGCGAATGTGATATCGATCTTGATGCAGATATTGACCTTGCTCATCCACCACCCCACCATCCAACACGCTCGCTCCTCCACTCAGCGCTCGCACCTTTGCCGAAGGGGCCTCGTCGTGGGTGCGAAGCAAGGAACTGTCCTTGATCAGCGCTCGGAGATTCTGTGCGACATGCACTTGTCCAGGATGCGGTCTAGCCACGTCGTGGATGAAGGGATCGAGATGGCTGCTAGACGAGAGCATCGCTTCGCTCATCAGCGCCGTCACCACTTGGGCGGCGTAGAAGAGTCGGCGCATCTGCTGCATGGCGAGCACGGCTACAGAAGCAGAGACTGCCGTGCCGTTCACTGTAGCAAGCAGTTCGCGCGGTGTGAAAGCGATCGGAGGGATGCGACACTCTTCCAAGGCCTGCCTTGCCGTCTTGATCGAGCTTTGAACATGCAAGAGGTGACGCGGTGGTTAGAGGAGAGAAGGAGGGGGGTGTGAAGCTGCGCTTTCGGACCCTACGCACCCGTCCTTGGCTCGTACGCGCAAGTCGATGCGACCGGTTGCTGCCCACGCAATGTACGCCAGCGGTGAAAGGTCACCTGCGGAGAT